TGGCCATGGAGCGGGCGGGCACCCGACGCGGAGCGACGGAACGTCCGCGACCGCGGCCGCCCCTGTGCGCGCTGCGGCTGCCGCCTCTCCTGCTGCTGCTGCTGCTGCTGCCGGGCCCAGCGGCCTGCCACCTGCGGTTCGCGGTGCCGGAGGAGCGGGCACCCGGGTCTCTCGTGGGCGACGTGGCCAGCGCGCTGGGGCTGGAGCTGCGGCGCCTGGGGCCGGGCTGTCTGCGCATCAACCATCTGGGCGCGCCCAGCCCGCGCTACCTGGAGCTGGACCTGGCGAGCGGAGCGCTCTTCGTCAACGAGCGCATTGACCGCGAGGCGCTGTGCGAGCAGCGGCCGCGCTGCCTGCTCAGCCTGGAGGTGCTGGCGCACAGCCCCGTGGCGGTGAGCGCGGTCGAGGTGGAGGTACTGGACATCAACGACAACTCGCCGCGCTTCCCGCGGCCGGACTACCAGCTTCAGGTAAGCGAATCGGTGGCGCCGGGAGCGCGCTTTCACATAGAGAGCGCGCAGGACCCCGACGTGGGCACTAACTCCGTGCAGACCTACAAGCTCAGCCCCAGCGAGCACTTCGAGCTGGACCTTAAACCCCTGCAGGAGAACAGTAAGGTGCTGGAGCTGGTGCTGCGAAAGGGGCTAGACCGTGAGCAGGAGGTCTTGCACCACCTGGTTCTCACAGCTGTGGATGGAGGCAGTCCCGCCCGCTCGGGCACGGCCCAGATCTCTGTGCGTGTCCTGGACACTAACGACAATTCCCCTGCCTTCGACCAGTCCACCTACCGCGTTCAGCTTCGGGAGGACGCGCCTCCAGGCACATTGGTGGTGAAGCTGAATGCCTCTGACCCTGACGAGGGTTCCAATGGCGAGCTCAGGTACTCCCTGAGCAGCTACACGTCAGACCGGGAGAGGCAGCTCTTCAGCATCGACGCCAGCACGGGGGAAGTGCGGGTAAGTGGAGTGCTGGATTATGAGGAAGCCTCTTCCTACCAGATCTATGTGCAGGCCACCGATCGGGGTCCAGTGCCCATGGTGGGTCACTGCAAGGTGCTGGTGGACATAGTGGACGTGAATGATAATGCACCAGAGGTGGTGCTCACAGACCTGTACAGCCCAGTGCCCGAGGATGCTGCCCTCAACACCGTGGTGGCCCTTCTCAGCGTCAATGACCAGGACTCAGGCCCCAACCGGAAAGTGAGCTTGGGCCTGCAGGCCACACTGCCTTTCCGACTGAATGGCTTCGGAAACTCTTACACACTGGAGGTGAGTGGCCCACTGGACAGGGAGCGGATGGCTGCCTACAACATCACAGTGACAGCCACTGACGGGGGAGTACCACAGCTCACATCCCAGCGGACACTGCAGGTCGAGGTCTCAGACATCAATGACAACTCCCCAAGCTTCCTGAAGGACTCCTACTCCGTCTACATCCAGGAGAACAATTTGCCAGGGGTGTTGCTCTGCACTGTGCAAGCCACAGACCCAGATGAAAAGGAGAACGCAGAGGTGACTTACTCCCTCCTGGAGAGGGAGATTCAAGGGCTGCCCGTCACCTCCTATGTCTCCATTAACAGTGCCAGTGGCAGCCTTTATGCTGTTAACTCCTTTGACTATGAGAAGTTTCGGGAGTTCTTTGTGGCTGTGGAGGCCCAGGACAAGGGAAGCCCACCTCGGAGCAGCACTGTGACCGCCAATGTGTACGTGGTGGACACGAATGACCATGCCCCTCTCATCTTGTACCCTACCTCAACCAATTCTTCAGCAGCCATTGAAATGGTGCCTCGAACTGCCTCTGCTGGCTACCTGGTCACCAGAGTCATAGCCATGGACTCAGACTCTGGGCAAAATGCTTGGCTCTTTTACCATCTGGTACAGACTTCTGACCTGGACCTTTTTAAAGTAGAGCTACACACAGGAGAGATTAGGACTACCAGGAAGGTGGGAGATGAGAGTGGAACCACTTTCAACCTGACCGTGGTGGTCCGAGACAACGGAGAGCCATCCCTCTCTGCTTCTGTGGCCATCACAGTGGCTGTGGTGGAGAGGGTTTCCAGAATCCTCCCTGATACTCACAGACATGTTAAGAGTTCTCGGACATACTCTGAAATTACACTTTATCTAATAATAGCATTAAGCACAGTGTCTTTTATATTTCTTTTGACAATCATTTTTTTGAGCATCGTCAAGTGCTACCGCTACACTACGTATGGCACTGCGTGCTGTGGCGGCTTCTGTGGAGTGAGGGAGCGGTGCCCCGCAGAACTGAGCAAACAGGCCAATAACAACATTGATGCCAGGATACCACATGGCCTCAAAGTGCAGCCTCACTTCATTGAGGTGCGAGGGAACGGCTCCCTCACCAAGACCTACTGCTACAAGGCCTGTCTGACAGCAGGTTCAGGGAGCGACACCTTCATGTTTTACAACACAGGGGCACAGACAGGACTGGGGCCTGGGGGAGCACAAGCAGCCGTGAGTGACAGCAGGCACCTCACAGGCCAAAGTGGGCAGACTGCCGGGAACCTGATTATTCTCAAAAATGAGCCTATTTCTCAAAATGAGGTGAGATAGCAATCAAGGGGTCTTCTACAAAGCCATGCATTTGCACATCCCCTGGCCACAGTCTCCTGGGGTTGGCTTTATTGAGTTAATAACAGTGATAGGGGTTAAATGGTAAATTGAGTATGTACAGTATCTGTGATTGGATTATAACCTGCTAAGTTTCCTCTCTGGAAAAATAGCCATAGAGAATTGTTTTGCTCCCCTTTTTCCTTTCAGGTATTTGAAGCCTTGGCCATAAAATTGTTTGAGAAATGAGGATTCGTCTTAAATATTTGATGTTAAAGCATAGCTCTGTAAAGAAATAGAACAGGCTTGAGAGTAAGACAATGCTATAAGGGTACTGTTATGAGATTCAAGGAGAAATGGCCTCTGCTGTATCATCCAAATGGAAAATTCTCTTTTGAAGTCCTATCAGAATGTTGTTTTTTTAAATGGTCTGAGACCTCTAGGGGCTGTGGTGATCACCTCTGCACGCAGTCCCTGTTTATACCTGGGACTGTCTACAGTGAAAAGTATCCAGTTACTTTTTTCGGCAAGTGCACTGAACTAGTGTGATAGAGTCTCCTGCTCCGTCTGAGAGGTGATAAAGCTGTAGAATGGGGACCTCACTCTGAAGCCAAAGTTTGCTTTGGCTGTTTGTTGTGCTGACTCTTCTACAGGGGCTGTCAAAGGAGGTAAATAATAAGGATACCTAAGGCAGAGAGACAGGAACCAAGTTGTCTGGTTGGTCCGGGGAGCTGTGGAGTAGCGGGTCAGGGAGGTAGGATGTGCTGCGGAGCAGAACACGCTGGGTGTGGGAGAAAGAGAAGGGGAAGAGAGCTCTCCCGCTCGTCTCTTTCCTGGCATAGTATGAATTCACTGTAAGAGGATTTCTCTGCATTTAGCTAAAATGCAATCTGTAAACCTCTGATTTCCTGTTGAAGTTCTTTAAGTTTTGATGAGATGTGAAGTAGCCTCTTCAAGCACCTCATGCCTTTAAATTAAATGACAGTGCTTCAATAACCCTCCAACATATTCCAAAGCACACATTCATTTTCTGATTCTAAAGTTTAGTTTTCAACAGCTACAAAAGACTTGGAAAATGCGTGGCTTACTGTATGTGGAAGATGGGTGTTAGTCAATACACCACTGTTAAGCTTTAAGTAGGCATAAGGCCAGCTTGCTCATTATTGTGAAGAATGTATGTGAATTACTGGACGGTGCATGATTGTGTGGATGTGTTTGTGTGGTGTGTTTGTCTCCACATGCATGCTTGAAATAATAGAGGTCTGCCTTAGGAGACTTCTTGGATTTCAGAAGCCAAAATTTTGTCCCATAAATAGCGATGGGTTGTTATCTTTCCAAATAACTACTTAGGATCTAGGACTTCTAGAAGTCCTAGAACATGAGTTAACATTATTTGTCATGCCTATATTTTTGTAATGTATTGTCATTGATGTATTAGTGTCTTTTTACTAATGTCCACATTCTGAACTCATATTAATCTTGAGGAAAGTAATGCATAAGCACAGAAAAAAAGCAGAGCTGGATTGAGAAGATTTCCCATGTGCACTGTAGGTAGATTCATCAGAAGATCCTATGTTAGTGCTGTGCTGCCATGGGAGACAAATTGCAGATTTACAAAGCGGGGAAAAATCAAGGAGTTTCCAGAATTCTTTAGGTCATAGCTTTTGGGAGCATTATCTCCCAAAAAAAGCTTATAAAAGGGTTTAGCTTTAAATAAGGATGCTGTAGACATTTGCTTATCACATTCCTCTGAGGTCCTTTTGGGCCCAGGGAGTGCTGCTGGTGGTGAAGAGGCACGGAGAGCAGGCCAGGCAAGCTTTGCCACCAGCTGTGAGCCAGAAGCTCCAGGGAGTGACACTCTTACCCTCCCTCCTCTGGCTCAAAGGTTGGGGCAGTTTGATACATGAACTGTTTCTGTCTTACAGTGACCTGTGTGTTAATTTGTCCTTTGGTACACAAACCTTTAATCGAGGGAGAAAATTATGTCAGAGAAGTGCTTGCTCTTGTGGGATTTTGCCAGGAGAGTGCATGATTTTAATAAAGACAAATTCCTGCCAGACGCTTTTGAAAATCCAGTGAAGAGTCCTAAGATGCAGCTCCTAAAATCATTGCAGTTGTGGGGAGAGAGCAAATCCTAATATAGCAGGGCAAAACGGGAACAAAAATCCTTACCTCTGAGAGTCATCACTGCTAGGGCAACCTGTTAAATTCCCATGTTAGGCTTTCTCTTTTCCCTACCTAGTTACTGCAGATGGCCAGAGAGTCGTGGGGTGCAATTAATGCCATGAACCTACATTAAAATTAGATGGGGATTGGATTAGTTGAGTAAGGAATTTGCACTCACTGACCACCTTGCTGTCTAAAAATGTTCTGCTTTCTGTGCCATGTATGTGTGGTTTCACCACCTGTAAGTCATACATCAAACATTTATCAGCATCTAATACAGAAGGAAACAAGCTCAGAGAGGTTAAATAACATATGCAGCCACTCTGCTCATGCCATTTTAAGTCATGTATGACTCCAAAGACTGTGCTTTTTGAAATAGTCAGATGAATAGACAGAAATCCTGATGTTTCTACTCCTTTTGATATGTGATTCTCATGCATTTCTGGCTACCACTGGTTTACCTTGTCGTGGAAATGAACTGCTTTTGGAAAAAGAATAATTGCTTGCATAGAAGTAGGTTACAAATGGGAGATCAGTAAGTAAAAATGTTACTACCAAGCTAACACATTTGTATTTGTTTGTTTTACTATTGGCATAGCCTGTTAAGATATTTTTATCTCTGTTCTTTTTCTGATCCCTCTTGTTGCTTATTAAACATCAGCATTTAATACCACACTCTAATCTTCTGGTAGATTTTATCCCCAGTGAGGTTATTTCGTGAGCCACTTGTGAAGTGAGGTTTTTGAAGTAACTGTTTGGCAGTGGGGCAGAATTTCTTTTTGGAGATTTCTGAAAACCTGACATTGAAGGTGGTTCGTAACACTTCCCAAGTCTCCAAGGAACTAAATCTTATGGTGGATTCTGTGCGTGTGTTATCCTGTGGCTGCTAATGACTCGCTGAGTGCTCTGGGCAGATTTGTCCAGCTGTGCTGAGATGTGGAAATCACCACAGACTAGCAGAAATCACTTAAGTCAGCACTCACTTTCATATATTTTAAAACAACTTGTCGTTACCAGATCTTCCGTTATTTCTGCCACTGTGAGAACACATTCACCCTAACTCCAGATGCAGTGACCTAAAAGTGTTAACCCTTCTTTTAGTGGCACTTAGTTTATTTCCCCCAGCACTGGCTTTTCTCTCAGATGACTCTGTCCTGGGTCAGAATTTACACTTAGTATAAAGTAACATGGTGGGTGAATTCATAGAAAGTGCACAATGGTGAGAATAGGCAAAGATATTGTATCTGTGAACTTGCATTTCAGTGTTTCGTCCTCTGATGGTCACTTCTGGGTTGGTGGGGCTGTTTTGTTTTGCCCTTTCCATGTCAGTTATAGGACTGTTCTTTCTGAGGAAAGGCTTATTTTCTTTGGTCCGATAACATAATAATTTCTTCAAATTACCTCCTTCCTCCCTTTTTCTGCAGATCTGCCGAGCCAGATGGAATTATGGCTGAGCTCCTCTGTCTCTCTTTCTTGCACATATTCTGACTGATGAAGAAATCTATTTATTGTAGCTCAAATGTCATTGGTGTACCCTTTCCTCTGACCCAGGAGGTAGCCGTCACATGGGCATCTGGTCTCCCTCCAAGCACTCTGCAGGGACACAGCCTGGCATATTATAAATCGTCTATTGGCATACTGTCTGCTCAACAGAATAGCAGAGTCAGTTCTGGATACTTGCCTTGATTGGCCACCGATTTTTGCTCTCAATAAGAGGTCAGGATGATGGCACTTTGCAGTTGTTTGAGGAAAAGTTGTCATCACCAAGGCCAGAGGTTTGGCTGAATTTAATGGGAATTTACAGTTGTCTTTGAATGTGACTTTTGTGGCACTTTGCCTAGCTCAGTGTTCCCGGGCACATTATAGTATGAATATGAGTCCAACTTAACCCTATGATAATATTTTGAGCACTGTAATCTATTAACATGTTTTCAAAAATCAAAGGTCAAGATTCCTTGGTGATGTTTTAAATCTGCTAGCCTAAAAGTCATACAAGTTTTTTTCCTTCAAGAATTTGAACTTGACAAATGCAAAGAAATACCCGACACTGCAAAGGTGAAGAGAAGCGGTAACTCCTTGGCTTATAAGCAACATCAGTTCCTTTCTGGCCTCACAGGGTCAGACTCTGGGCTCTAGCGAAGTAAAACTGTGAGTGAGAGAGTAACTGCTGTGTATCCAGAACTAAGCAAACCTAGCATTTTCTGTTTTACAGGAACCCATTAGGTGTATTTTAAAGTTATGTTTATTTTATTCTCATGCTGTGTGGATTAAAGGCTGTAAATGACTTCAGAGGGAAGTATTTCACCTAGAATTCTCGTATTTATCATCTTAGCAATATTCTTTGCTAGAAGACTAATATGTAACAAAAATGATTATTTTAAATGTTATATTCCTTTTTGCCTTGATGACCAACAGTTTACATATTCATTTTCTATTGCTTTTTAGCAAATTTACCACAAATTAGTGATTAAAACAGTACTCTCACAGTGTAGTGTCTCAGAGTCCTGCAGGAAGTGACGGGGTTCGCTGCTTGGGTTTTTACAAGGCTGAAACCAGCATGATGGCTGGCTGAGTTCTCTTCTGGCAGCTTTGGGGAAAATTCCATTTTTGAGCTCATCCCAGGTTGTTGGCAGAAACAGGGTCCTTGAGGACAGAGATCCCATTTGCTTACATACTGCGGCTGGAGGCCACTCTCAGCACCTAGAGGTTGCTCTCAGGCCCTTACCCCATGGTCCCCTCCATCTTCAGACTCAAGAATGGAGACTCTTTGCTCACATGGAATCCCTCTCATGCTCAAATCTCTCTAATTTCTGTCTCTGCTCTCTAGACCCGGATATAAAGGCTCTTGTGATTAGGTCAGTCCCATTCAGATGATCTTCCCTTCTTAAAACCAACCGTGCTGTAAAATATAACCTAATCATGGGGTAAGAGCCATCATACTTGGTCTTGGAGGTTATGCAGGGCATATATGCTAGGTTACAGGACCGAGGTTATGCAGGGCATATATGCTAGGTTACAGGACCTTGGGGACCGTCAAGGTTTCTGCCTATCCTGGTTTATATCAATGTTCACAAAATGTCACTGTGAAAAGTCTGCAGTGGATACAACTTTAACAGAGTCTTATTAGGAAGGAACGGGAGATGCTATATATGGTCTCATGTCTCAGAGAGCCATTTATCAATAGCTTCAACATGGATTTCCATGATGAGAAGATAGTATATTATTTCCTGAGTGGTATAGACAAAATATGTGTTTGTGAATGACATAGGGAATTTTTAACCTATTTTATTTTCAGTGTGCCTTGGAAGAGGTGGTTCACCTTTCTGCAGCTCAGATATTCTATGGTATAAATAAAAATACCACTACAAGATAAATTGTTTGCTATGATTTTGATAGAAACTTAAATGGGTTCTTGTTTTTTCAGTAATGCTGTATCACCCATATGGACTGCCTAATTCAGGTTTTCTATATCTGGAGTTTTGTGATTGCTATTCTACTAAAGGACCAAGCTTTGAAACAACAGAACATACTGGGGCTTTTTACCAATAGTAATTAAACATTGTACATCCAGGGATGTACAATCACAGTTAGTTCAAAGGCTTGATATATGTCTCCACTGAGTCAGGTCTATCAGTCATCATCTTTCAACCTGAAGTTTTTCAAGTTTAATCAAAGTTGAATGAAACCCTGGTGCATTTTATTACTTAACAATTTTTTTATCATGTTAAATCAGTATCTGGGAAACTCAGAAGTAAAAAAAGAAAAATATGTGTTATTCCATGTAGATTAATTTAAAACACCAGCTTTTGTCTCAAGGAGACATACACATGACTGTCAGCCTGACCCACCAATCAGGCAAGTAATTTTAATCTCTCTAAAGCTCAGATTTCTCACTTTTGTAATTTAGGTACAATAATGTTGCTTTTGCATGATAATCATTTATTCAAAAACCTTTAAAAAACCTGTCAAATAACCTGAATCCCACTAGGCTCTGAGGATATAGCTGTGAGCTATGAGTGTCTAAGGGGATTCATTTGTTTATGAACAAACAGATATAATCTCGTTCATAGAATTTACACTCTGATGAAGAAAGGGTTCAGATAAATGCAATAAGTGTAAAGTGCTTATCCTGCTTCCCAGTATTTTGTGGATACTCAAAATATTACTTTCTTTCTCACCCTTTCCCTGCCTGATCTTACTGCTGTAAGATATCTCATAACTATGATTCTGACAAATGAATCTGAGCAGCATCTCGTTGCTGATGGACTATTACAGAAAATGGCAGCGTGACAAATTAAATGTTGTTGAGGAAGTGAGATTGTATAATGCACTGTTTCCTGGTCAGTCCTGCTACAGCTGTGCCTTTCAGGAAAAGGAGGTTGGTGATTTCATTCCAAAGATCAAGTTGCAGCAATTTTCATCATGCATGTTACCCAATCATAGAAGAATTGGCAACATTTGCTCAACAGATGTCAACGTCTTTCTTGAAGGAATATTTCACAGCTGACAAGCTGACACTAGTGTGGCTGATGGTGAGAGGAGAGAGGGTGATGATTAATAACAAGTATTTCAGTCACATTTTCAGGTCTGCAACATGATTTGCAAAGATTTTTTTTTTTTCCTTCTGACACCACTGGTAGAAAATTGTTGGGAACCCCTTCTTGGCATCTGTAGACAGTTTTATGCTACTTTATACGGAACATCCGTAGCATTCTGTGAACTGGAAAACCAAGGATGAAGCAGAATCTTGCCTGCTCCTGTCTCTCCAGCAGAGTGGAAGGGACCAACCCGGGAGGGCAGTTAGTACATGGGGACATTTGAGGTAAAGTAGCCTCGAGTTGTAGCTTTCTCTGGATCTTGACCTTGGCCAGCTCTCTGAATGCCACCTAGCCATCCCAAAGTCTGTCTGGAAGTTGAGATGCTGATCACTTCTTCTCTGGCAGTTGAGAAAGAGTGTGTTTATGAAATACTGTGCATTCCTTGAATAAAGTATAAGAATGATAGGAATAAGAATCATTGCCATTTTGAAATAGTTTACTGGTATATATGGAATCCTAATATGATCATGATAATCCAGAGGAAAACACAGACATCTCATTGCCCTCAGATAGACTTCAGTATCCAGTGACAGGGCCACTTCAGTCTCTGCCTATGAAAACGCATTGAGAGAAACATTCTAGCAGAGGTGGGTTTTTTTAACAGTAACTTTTTTGCTAATAGATGCAAGATAGCGATGTGGTTGATTTTGTCTCCAGTGATTCCTGAGTAGCTTCTACTCAGCACGTAACTCCCCAGATAGTCTTTAGGTTGCCTATATTTTCCTCTTTGTCCCCTCCACTTTGAATTGGCAGTTTGCAGACAGAGGGCAGCAGACCTTTCCAGCACGTAGGTGGTGCAGAGTGAGTCAGACTCCTCTTGGGCTTCAGCTGCTGCCTGCTTGACAGTCAGAGCTTAGTGACAGTAACGGAGTGAGCAAGCAACGCACTCAGGGAATTAGATGAGCAGGGAGCAAGTAAAATTTTATGAAAAGGATTAAGTGGCAGAACAAGGTCAAACTGTGCGGTGGTTCGTTTTCCTCTCCCTAGCAGTCCTCTTCAATCAGCAGCAGAGGCAGCTCCCCGTTGCTGGTGTTGTGACTGGACACATCCGTCCTGGGCCCAGCATGCTGCAGTCTGCCCTGCCGGCAGCAGATTACAGTCCTCTGTGGTCCAGCCAGACTGGCAGACTCATGTAGTCATGTACCCTATTATAGCTGGAATACCAAGTTGGGGGTATTCCCTTACTGGGGCATTTGAGGGGCAAAAACAATGGAAGCTTTTCCTGTCTTAAAGCTGACTGTCTTTGCCCCAGTGCTGCTTTAAGAACATAGACCTGTTTTGAGCAGGACAAAGCCAAGGGTGGCTTCACAGCACCATTGGATATGGTTTTCTGTGATGTTTAGTCTGTGCAGGGACTCTGATGGGCTAATTTAATTTTCTCTTCAAGCATGATACATATGGATATCATCTTAGAGTTGCACATGAAAGGGCTCCTTACTACTCTTTTTTTTTTTTTTTCACATGCATGGAAAAATGTAAGGAACAGCTAATCAATTAACATCATCACTGGGGGATCATTGTTTCGCCATATTAACAAAAACCCCCTTTGTGATTTTGCAGCCACGACAGCCCAACCCTGACTGGCGTT